GGGTGAGACGCAGGGCTGAGGGCAGGAGGGGCAGGGCCCTGCCTCCTTCATCACCCCATGGCAGGGCACATGGGGTGTCAGAGGGGGCTCCGCAGGGTGCATGGCCCTAGCAGCCCCTTCCCAGCGCACCAATCACCTCCTCCCCTCCTGCCGGGCTGCTGAAAGTCGTTAATAACTGCAGGCAAATAAAACCCTGCAACTCACTGGGGCCCCGCTGTGCGCGGGGGGCTACCGGGTAGCACAGCAGCACGTGCTGCTGGCCGCCCCATGCCCCGCCACGGGGGGCCTCAGCCAGGCTGTGCTGAGCCCCAGTTGTTGCAAGGGGCAACACCACACCCCAAATCCCCCCGGATCACCACGCTCGCCTGCAGCAGGACAGGGTTAAGGAGGAGGCTGTGGGCCTGGGGTGCGCCCAAGGGTGGGGTGCGCCCGCGCCGCTGGGCAGGGTCACCACAGCCGCCTGAGTCACTTGGCCCAGGGACACCAGCACTGGGAGGAGCCGCTCTGTGGCCATGCGGTCACGGTCACTGAGCCCCCAGCCCACACCCCATGCGTGGCTGACCCTGGGGCATGGTACCCAGCGAGCCATAGCCATGGTGGTCAGGCTGTGCCACAAGAGCATCACGCAGCCTCGTGTGGCTGGGGGACACTGCTGGCATTAAGCACTGAGCTGGTGGATGGAGGTGACAGCACCAACCCTCAGCTTGGACATGGGGCAGCTGAGCGGGGACAGCAGGCACGCTGGGATAGCCAAAGCCTCGAGGGCAGCAGGGTACGGGGCACTGCCTGCAGGGTGGGCAGCATGGTGCCGGCGGGGCACAGGCCCTGGGTTGGGACCTGGTTTTGCAATGCCAGGGTCGGGTTTCGCTGACGTGTCCGTGCTGCAACCAGCTGCTGACTCTGAGCCTCTCAGCCCTTTAATTATGCTGGCATTTCCTCCCCAGCTGCCAGGCTCCGCTCACTGGCCCCGAGCAGGTTGGGCTGGGTCGTGACCGCGGCCGAGCATCCTGCCTTGCCGGTCGGGCACCACGCGCTCCACCTGTGGCTCCACACCTCTGCCACTGCTCTGCCAGCACCATCATGCTGCTGCGGCACACACCAGCACGCTGCCCAGCCCCTTAATGGGCACGTGGGGCCAAGAGGTGAGCCCAGCCTGGCAGCTTGGCAGGGGCAGCACGGCCGCACTGGGGAGAAGTGGTTCTCCCAGAGGTGCTTGGCCATCTTGCCCTGGCAGCGGCCCGCTGCTCCTTGGCTGAGCTCCCCAGGCCTGCACCGCAGATACTTGCCGAATTATTCATATTTTCCGGCTGCAGGAGGATCCAGGCTCAGCCTCCCCCTCTTGCACAGCCTTTCCCTGCCAGCCTGAGGGAGTGGGAGCACTATTCCCATTCTCTGGGTTGAGCAGCTGGGTGTCCACTTGGTGCACACGGGGACATGGCACCCCTTTCTGTGCCCAAGGGAGAGCCCGATGCCAGCCAGGCACAGCACAGGGTAGGTGGCAGCGCCGGCTGCTGTGGTGACAGTAGTGTGTCCCCAGCCCTAAGCTGCAGGGTGACACCTAGGCAGGAGGGGGCAGTTGGAGCTCCACACTGCCACAAGGAAACTAATGGTGGCCCTGCCACTGGGTGAGCATCCCTGGTACCAGCAGTGCCTGCAGGGCTGTGCGCTCACCTGGGTCTGTGCCCAACTGGCTCAGACGGTGGTGAGCCCAGGGTGCCCTGAACCCCAGGACTGGGCCTTAAGAGCTGGAGGGGACTGCACAGTCCCACAAGCTCTCATCGCACCCCACATCACAGTGGATTCCTGAACCCAGCACAGCCAGGACACCCCTCCTGTCCCCCCAGCCCGGTGAGTGAGGCCCCATGTCCACTCGGCTCCCCGTGCAGAACAAAGCCGCCGTTGTTGCCGGCACGCAGCCAGCCCGGTGGGCACCGGCACACACAGCTCCATCCCCACCGCCGCCCCGGGCCCCGCGCACAGGAATGCGGGGCCTTCCCCGGCTCCGAGCCCAGCATCGCGGGGCCCTCCCTGACGCCCCCAACACACCCGTGTAAGTGCGCGCCCCCTCCCCGTGCCCAGCGGAGCTGCACGACCAGCCCCCAATCCTCCTTTTCCCTTCCAGTCGCCCTCCGCCGCAGCTCCCACCTCCTCCCGCGCTCCCTCCCTATTTAATTAAAGTTTCCGCAGCAGCCAGGGAGGAATGCAGGCCTGCTTATTGCCTCCCCCCGCGCCAGCCCCTCGGCCCGCTCCTGCCCCGGTGACCCAGCCACGCTCTCAGGTGCCGGGAAGGGGAAAAACCAGCAGAGCCGCTTCGCCCGGAGCCGGCGGTGCCGCCCCGCTGCCACGCGCGGATTCCTGCGGCCTGACTGTGGCCGTGCTGTCCCCGAGCGCTTCCTCCCGCCGCGTCCCGTCGGGTGGCGGAGCCAGCCGGGCAGGCAGCGTTGCGTCAGGGCGACCCGGCTGGGCCACCGGGCTTGGCGTGGTGCGAGGAAAAATAGTAATTAGTGTCATTCGTCACGGCGGCACGGCCCAGCGCCGTGTGGGCAGCACCCGGTCCTCGGTCAGGCCAGGCCGCCGCCACCAGGACGGGACAGGCTCACTCGAGGACGGGGACGCGCTTCTGCTCGGTGCTGTCACCGCAGCGTCGCCCGCTGGGATGCCCGGGTGCTGCTGGCGGCTCGGCGGGCACAAGGGAGGAGTGAGAGATGCTCAGCCCCTGTCACGGCCGGCAGGGTGGCAGCTCCGGTGTCACCCCAGCAGGCACAGCAGGAAGCCGGTGGGGCATCCCCGTGGCCGGCGGCCCTGCTGGCACGCTTCCCTATCGGACGCTAGCGGCTCCCTGCTTGCCGTCCCCCGAGCAGCCAGCCCTGCTGCCGCGTTGGGATTGGCACGCATGGATGCACCGCGCCGGGTCCCACACGTATCCTGGAGCCTGGCTGCTGGCAGGATGGGTCACTGTCACCCAGCCAGCAGCAGTGACACCTGGGGCAGCAGGAGTCCCCCCCGCCGCACCTCACCCCTCCCCACGATGAGGCAGCACCGGACACGCACCAGGGACTGCCCGTGGGACGGGACCCACGAGGCCACCGTGCTGGGGACCGGCCACCAGCGTCCTCGTCCCCGTACGCCACCGGGCTGCCGCCGAGACTCCATCCCTAGCCAAGACGGAGTCACGCTGTGACCCAGCAGGGACAGCCGAGCACAGACTGCCGGTCCCTCCCGGCCCGTGGTCGCGGCACTCACCGGGGCCGGGCGGGGCCGGGCCGGACACTCACTCCATGGCGGCGGGCGGACGCTCCCCTCTCTGGCGGCGCCGGGCCCGGGGGGCGGCTTTTAGGACGAGGGGCGTGGTATGGCGCTGGGGGGCGGGGCCAGCACTCCCGCCGCCTTCCTATTGGCTGTGAGGACCAGGGGGCGAGGGGCGGGGCGGGGCTTCCAAGTAGGCTCCGCCTCCTGCGCACCTGGGGCCCGGTGTGGGGGGACCCCAGGGACCCGCCGGCACCCCGGGTGTGGGTACGGGTACCGGTGTGGGTACGGGCATCTCCCCCTGTGCGGCACCCGTGTGCTCCAAGCACCTCCAGACCCTGACAGCCCTGTAGCATCAGGGCTGGGCATCCCAGCAACCCCTGTTCAGCATGCCCTAGCTGACCCGTCACCCAAGTATGGGACCCAGTTGCTCCATGGCCGCTGGGAATCCCAGCTTCCTGTGTTCCAGTGTCTCCAGTACCCCTAGTGCCATGCTACCCCATTACCCTGTTACCTGCCCAGCCAGGGATCAGAGTGCTTTGGGGCAGAGTGCCGTTGTGCAGTAGGGATGGGGGCTGCGCGCGTCGTTGAAGGGCGAAGCCCATGTGACAGCAGTGCTGCACTGAGCACCGCAGGATAACGTTCACCACCCCGAGACGTCCCAGCAGCGGAGCTGCCCTTGTCCCAGCCTTTGCCCCTGGTGGTGGTGGCAGTGCAGGGCTGACGACAGCGATCCCCGTGCCTGCCGCAGCCACTCGGCATTGTTTGTCCACGTCGTGCCAACGGACACGGGCTGGGGTTGCGCCATGCTGGCTGGGGCTTCCCCTGATGTCAGCTTGCTGCCCCGCGCTGTCCCTGCCATGGAACCCGCCGTGGTGCAGGGCTGCGGGGCCGGGCAGCCTTTGTTTGGCTATGTTTCCTCAAAGTCGATCCGTGTAAAATCCCGGCACCGCACGTGCTCCCTTCCCCCAGCCGGCACAACCACAAAAATGTCAACCCGAAAGTAATATATTGTCCCTTTGTTCTCCTGAAATTTGCCTCTGGAGTTTTCTCCTCCACACCCATATCGTGGAGAAGGAAGAGAAGGGGTTCAGTGCTCCATGTCCCCTCCGGCCACCAAGCATCCCCCGGGTGCAGGGTGGGACAGGGACAAGGACAGGGATGAGGCACACTGCAGCCAGCCAGCCCAGCTGGCAGCCCCAACCACAGGACTGGTGGGGCAGCGTGTGCCAGTGAGGTGTGTGGTGTGCAGGCTGCACCCCGTGGCTCCGTACCCACCCCAGCCTGGCCAAGCTGGCCGGGGCAGCCCAGAGCTGTGCCTGCAGGGCCGGGTGGGCCCCGGGTTCCCTCATCCATGGTGGCACCTGCATGCCCCGTGCCCTCAGTGCCGTGCCACACACTGGTACACTTCAGGAACTGTGGGCTGCCGCCAAGGTCTTGCTGCCATAAAGCTGTCACAGTGGGGCTGAGCGTGGCAGGGCTGTAGCGTGGGAAGCTGTAAATGGGGGAGATGCCAAGGGCCGTTCCCATGTGCCAGACCCAGGGCACCCAGCACTCCCTGCTGCCATGGGCACGGTTGGACCCTGCCCAGTACTTTGCTGGCACCACCAGGAAAATGGGACTGGGCTTGGGGTGCCATGGGGGAACAGGTCAAGAGGGCAGGATCCAGCCCTGCCTTTATCGGGGTGCTGCCGCATGCCAGGGCAGATGCTGAGCCCCATCCCGCAGTGCTCAGCACCTTCCTTTCCTTGTAGGGCCGTGATCCCGCTGTATGACGCCGACACGGGGCTGCTGGTGCTGGCGGGGAAGGTAAGGAGCCGGGGCGGCGGGACGCAGCAGTGTGATCCTACACCCTGCTTACACTGCACTCCTCATCTCTGCCAGGGAGAAAGCCTCCTGTACTGCTTGGAGGCGGCATCGGCTCAGCCTGCCCTCACCCAAGGTAAACAGAACGCATCCTACACTGGGGTGCTTCGACCCCCACTCCTGCCCCACCCCAAGGCTGTCCTGCCTGTCCGCAGTCACTCAGTGCCTGATGGAGGGACACACACGGGGCCTGGCCACCATTCCCCGCCTGGCCCTGGATGTCATGGCGTGCGAGGTGCTCCGCGTCCTGCAGCTCACCGACACCTTCCTTGTCCCTGTCAGCTACATTGTGCCTCGCAAGGTGAGCGCGTGTGGGGCCATCAGACAGAGCCTCAGCTCCAAGCTTGGTCCCTGTGACCCCACGTCCTCGTGCCCTGGTGCTTTCCCTGTCACTCACCACAGCATGCAGGGCAAAGGTGCTCCCAGTGTGCTCAGGTTTTTCCTTCCATTGGCATCATTCCCCTGAAACGTTTTTCTGAATGACAGAAAAAAAAAAAAACAGGGTGGCAGCTTAAGAAAATGCCCTTTTCAGTAAACAGACACTATTATGGAAAAACCCACGTTTAAAAAAAGAAACAGAGCATAAGCACTGCTGCAGGGCAGCCACGGGCTGGGGTGGACCAGGGCTCTGCCCCCACAGGGACACTGCCACAGGCAGGGCTCAGCCCCTGGGGAAATGGAGACAGCCACCACTCACTCTGGAGCCCCCAACTCATCCCCTTGCCCTCACCCCATGGGTGGCACAATGGTGGGGTGCCTGGTGCGATCTCATGGGTACTACCTCACCATTCACTTGCTGGGGAATGGAGAGCAGCCAGGTGTGGTGGGGATAAGGGGAGACTCAGGTTTCCAGGCTAAGGTGAGAGAAACCTGTGGGGGATGAAACCTGGGCGCTACATGCTGAAGTCTTTCGGCTGGGAACTGAAATCTGGTGCTGGTGTTGGGTAGCAGAGGCTGGTGCTCAAAGCTGCAATGCCAGGAGCCGCAGGCCAGCAGCTGGGGGCTGCATTTCAGAACTTGGATGCTCCCAGGGTGCCCAGCACAGCCCAAAGCCAAGCAGCATCTGACACCTACAGGCTCCAGCATGCAGCTCTGGGGCTGAGGTTCTGCACCACCAGGGTGCCCAGGGGTCTCCTACGTGGAGCCACCAGTGCTCAGTGACAGCAAGGGACTGCAGGCGGAGCAGCAGCTCACGTCCCACCATGTGCAGGCAAGCACAGCAGCTCAGTACACCGGTCTTGCCATTCCCTCTCCTGCAGTCCAACCAGGAATTCCACGAGGATCTGTTCCCTGACTGTGCTGGGATGCTGCCGGCCACAGATGCTCAGTCCTGGTGGGCAGGGGACAGTCAGCAGGTGAGTGGCAGCCAGGAGGAGTCCCTGTGGGTGGCGGCACCTGGGGCTGGGCACAGCGCTGGCACAGCCACTGCACGGCCTTGGGACGGGGCCAGGACATGCATGGAAGGGGAGTGGAGATTTACACAAATCGCACGTTTGCCAAAAGCCAAGGAGTTTTTGGGGTGGCAGAGCACACGGGCTGTGTGCCCCCTCCTGACTGTGGAGTGGGAAAAGCGTTTGAGGACGAGACGCACAGCCCTGCACCTTGGCTGCAGCAGTTGGCTTTGAATGCAGACGCAGCTTCAGGAGATCTCATCTGCTCCCACCCAGTTTAAAATGGTTTTCCAGGAAGAAACTGCTCTGTAATGCTCTTCTGCAGTCAGCTGAGCTCTAATTTCCATCTAGGTGCAGCGAAGAGTAAAAATCTAATCAAGAAAAGGCATTCCCCTCCACCTTCCTTAAAAATGTAGACATTCTGAGACACTATAAATGTGTATTGGAACCACTTAAGGATTCCAAAGCTGTGAGCCAGAGAGGCCTCCTGCAAATCAGGAGCACCCCCATAAGCCAGACACCACAAGCAGCAGGTTTCAGTGGGGATGATTACAAAACCAGGGGGAGAAAAAGGAGGTTTTGTGGGGGATGAACCAGCTAGCTCCCTGACACAGCCAGCAGCTGGGATGCTGCGGCAGGCTCTCCTCTGCCGATGCCTGCTGGTCACAGCGCTGCTGCTCGGCAGGTGAGCAGGGTGAGCCTGCACCCAGCACGGAGACCCACGCAGACCTTCTGTTCCCCGCTCATCGCCGCTGTGCACAGCACCCAGCTGCCCAGTGACGGCCCTGTGGATACTGAGCGCAGTGTGAGCACAAGGAAAAGGGGGTCGGGGCTGGCGGAGCTGGGGGGCACCTCCTGCCCACCGCTGTCTCCTGTAGGAGGGCAGTGGCTACTCTTCGCCCTCCGGCTCGCTGACCTCACCGAGCAGCGCCGGCGCCTCACTCTCCACCAGCACCGCCCCCTCCAGCGGCTTCATCAGCAGCCCCAGCCAGAAGTCACTGCAGAGTATTTTGGGTGAGCGGGCAGCAGGGTGGGCTCGGCGTCACCGGTCCACGTGGCCGGAGGAGCCGTGGCACTCAGCAGCATCCACGCACGCAGGGCCCAGCTCCCGCTTCCGGCACACACAGGGCACAGTGCTGCACCGTGACACCCACATCACCAACCTGCGGGGGCTGAGCCTCACCACACCGGGCGAGAGCGACGGCTTCTGCGCCAACCACCAGCGAGTTGCCCTCCCACTGCTCTCTGCTGGTGGCCAGATCGCTGTCCTTGAGGTACTGTAGTCAGGAGCAACTCTTGGTGCCATCACTGCAAGCAGCGCGTTGGCACCTGACGCCCCGGGTGATGCTTTGCTTTCCATCAGCTCTCCAAACCAGGCCGTCTCCCCGACATGGCTGTGCCCACCATCCAGAATGGTGCAGCAGTGTCTGACCTCTCCTGGGACCCCTTTGACCCACGGCGCCTTGCAGTCGGTACGCACTGGCACCAGCACCCTGCCATGGGTGGTTGTGCCCCGCGTTGCTGCTCACCCCCTGCCTGTGTCTCTCTGCCTGTGTTGGTGCTGCAGCGGGGGAGGATGCCAAGATCCGGCTGTGGCGGGTGCCTGAGGGCGGGCTGCAGGACACACTGCAGGAGCCTGAGGCCGTGCTGAGAGGTGAGCGTGGTGCAGGGACACAGCTCAAGAACTGGCAGTGAGGACAGGTGGGTCTGCTGGTGTCCCTGTCCCAGTGCTGGCACTCTGCTCTTCTCACCAGGGCACACGGAGAAGATCTACTCCATCCGCTTCCACCCCGTGGCAGCCGACCTCCTCGTCTCCTCTTCCTACGACATGACGGTGCGGATCTGGGAGCTGGGTGCTGGGCAGGAGGTGCTGTGCCTGCAGGGACACACGGACCAGGTAGGGGAAGGGATTACAGGGGGGCCGCGGCACTCAGACATACGAGGCTACCACACTGCAGTGCGGCTGGATGGCAGCTTGAAGCTGGCTCCTGAATTATGGTGCTGAGATGGTGCCGGGAGAGAGTGACTTCAGGCTACCAAAAGGCAACATAGCTGGCCACCAAGTCCCTAAGCCAGCCAAGCACTGGGGAACAGATCTATGACAGAGGCACCTTCCATCTCCCAGATCTTCAGCCTGGCCTGGAGCCCCGATGGGAGGAAGCTGGCGACAGTGAGCAAGGATGGCCGGTTGCGGCTCTATGAGCCTCGGTGCAGCCCCCAGCCCCAGCAGGTGGGACCACAGTGCAGGATGGGATAGCTGGGGGGGACAGATCCCACCATGGGCAGCTGCTGGGCAGGGCGTGCTGCCAGTCACCCTCCTTCTCCCCTACAGGAGGGTCCCGGCCCTGAGGGAGGCCGTGGGGCACGTGTGGTCTGGGTGTGCGGAGGCGATTTCCTCCTCGTGTCCGGCTTTGACAGGTGAGGGTGGGCATGGTCCCCAGGGGATGAGGCATTCCTCAGTGCCCACCATGGGGACACACCGGGTTCTGCCATTGCACCTGCTCACCCCCACAGCCGCAGCGAGAGGAAGATCCTTCTGTACCGTGCACAGGCCCTGCCTGATGGGCCCCTCTCCGTTCTCGGCCTCGACATGGCCCCGTCCACACTCCTGCCCTTCTACGATGAGGACACCAGTGTTGTCTTCCTCACCGGCAAGGTGAGATGGAGCTTGTCTGTTTCTAGGGGGCTCCTCACACAGGGCACCACAGTATGGGGTCCTCGTGCCCTCACACCAGCCCCATTCCACTGTTCCAGGGTGACACCAGAGTCTTTCTCTACGAGGTGACTCCCGAGCCACCCTATTTCCTCGAGTGCAACAGCTTCACCTCCACCGACCCCCACAAGGTGAGGGGGGCCCTCCGGGGCCGTGCCGCCTGCCCTGCTCCCAGCCTGCTCACACATTTGCTCCTCCAGGGCTTCGTCTTCCTGCGCAAGACAGCGTGCGACGTGCGGGAGGTGGAGTTCGCCCGGGCGCTGCGGCTGGGGCAGGGCAGCCTCGAGCCGGTGGCTTTCCGCGTGCCTCGCGTCAAGGTAGTCACCGGGCTCGGCCGCGTGGGGGACAAAGCGACGGGCCGTCCTCACCGTGCCGCGCCCTGCAGAAAGAGTATTTCCAAGAGGACATCTTCCCTCCGACCCGCGTGTGGTGGGAGCCGGCCCTGAGCGCCGGCGCCTGGCTGGGGGGAGCGGAGGGACAGCAGGGCCGCGCTGAACTCCGTCCTGCCGGCATGGAGCCAGGTGGGTGCGCGGGGCCTCGCGGGCGTGGGACTCCCCCGGCTGTGGGACCGGCCCGCATCACACTGCCATCACAGTCAGCCAGGCCCCGAGGGAGGCACCGGCACGGAAGTTTGTCCCTGCGGCCGCGTATCTGGGGGAGAAGACGGACGAGCAGAAGAAGGAGGAGGTGAGTGTGGGGACGGCGGGACCGCAGCCCCGTGACGCCCCGACCCACGGCCCTGCTCTCCCGCAGCTCCTCAGCGCCATGGTGGCCCGGCTGGGGAACCGCCGCGACCCGCTGCCGCAGGACTCCTTCGAAGGCGTGGATGAGGCCGAGTGGGTAAGCGAGGCGGGAATAAGGGGGAGGCCGCGAGGACCGGGCTCGGGCCTCACCGAGCCCGGCCTCCTCAGGACTAGGCCGCAGGCGGACCTCACGGCACCGCGCGGACGCCGGGCCTCGCCGGAGAGGAGCCATCTCAAGGGCACCGGCCCCGCCATTAAAGCTGCTGCACCCCGCCCGTGGCTCCTGTGCTTGTGTGACGGGACGGAGACGGACGGGCGGGGGGAAATGGCGGCCGCTCTCCGCCTCTTTGGCGCGCGTGCGCGGTGCCCGCGGCCTGGACCTCCCCTCTCAGCGCCGCCGCTAGGGGGCGCCGTCGCCCGGTGGAGGGCGACGCTCCGCCCTGCGCCCTCCGCTCTCTGACCCCGCGTCCTCGCGGGGAGCGGAAGCGGCGGAGGGGACGATGGTGAGCGGCAGGTTGGGGGTCGTTATGCGGCCCCAGCGGGGACGCAGAGCTCGGGGAGGGGATGGTGGGGCTGGGACGGGGTGACGGGGCCGGAGGGGGTGGGTCATGGCTCGGGGAGCTGCGCGGGGATCAAGGTCCGGGGATAGCGGACGTGGGACGAGGTCGGGTGCGGAGCTGCGGCGCCAGGGGAGGCGGAGGCGGTTCTGGGCCGCGGCCGGGTGGGAACGGGGCCCGGCGGGCGGCAGGATGTCTGTGGGGCTCCGGTGGGGCGGGGCCGTGACAGCCGGCCGGTCCCCGCAGGCCAAGTACCTGGCGCAGATTATCCTGGTCGGGGCCCAGGTGGTCGGACGGGCCTTCATGAGAGCGCTGCGCCAGGAGTTCGCAGGTAGGAGCTGAGCCCGGCCCCTCGTGCAGGGAGGGGACACCTCCCTCCTGCTGCCACCTCCCCGGCTCGGGGCCGGGAGGGGAGCTGGGTGACCCCGTGGAATGAGTGGGCAGCTGGCGTGGATGGGGCTGGGTGGCTCAGCCCTGCCTGGGAGCCCCGTGGCTGTGGGGATTCTGGGGGTGTGGGTGGAGGACTGACGGTGTCCCCGGGCAGCGAGCCGAGCTGCAGCAGATGCACGGGGCCGCTCAGAGAGGCCTCAGTCCGCCGCCGCCTCCAGGATCATTGGCATCAGCCTCCAGGAAGCTCAGCAGATCCTCAACGTCTCCAACCTCAACCCGGAGGAGATCCAAAAGGTAGAGGCTCCCTCAGAGCAGCGCGGCTGGGGAGAGCTGGCACGGGGTAGTGGGGGCACCTGGAAGTCTGTGGGTACAGTCCTTGGGCATGGCTCATCCTGGGAGAGGTCTCCCTGCTCCAGCTGCAGCACGGTTTGCCCAGCAGAGCTGCTGGAGAGGGGCACGCGCTCCTCCAAAGGCACCTGTCACCACTGCGTGAAGCAGCCTCACCTCCAGGAGCCAGAGGCCACTGGGATTTGGGGAGGGCGAATGCAGGGAGCAGCTCCTGACGGAGGCTTTCCTTTGACAGAACTACGACCATTTATTCAAGGTGAATGACAAGTCGGTGGGAGGCTCCTTCTACCTGCAGTCCAAGGTGAGTAAAGGAAGGAGAGCTGTGGAGTCTCCCAGCTCTGCCCTCAGCCCATCTAGCTACCTTTGATTGGGCAGGAACCTTCCAGAAACAGATGTTTTGGGGCAGTACCGCTTCTTGCTTGGGCTGAACCCATCAGTGGGCCGCAAAGGGAGAGCTTTGCTGCCTCTTCCTGGCTGTTGAGGGAGGGAATGGTGGCTATTGGCACCAACCAAGCAGAACGGTGCCAGAAAAGGGTTGGGGATAGGTTTTATCCCCACCCTTCATCATGCTGGAGGCCCTCCAGCACTTGAGGATGCCTGTGGGGTAGCACAGAGCTGAGGGACCCGCAGTACTAGCAGTTGGCATGGATGAACCCCTTCCAGAGTCCTGCTGAAGGACTCAGAGCCCGGTGCTGGTGGGCAGGGAGGTGTGGGTGCATCCCTGCCCTGTGCATCAGCCCGTCCCCTCGTCCTGCAGGTGGTGAGAGCCAAGGAGCGGCTGGACGAGGAGCTGCGCATCCAGGCCAAGGACGAGAAGGAGAAAGGCTGGAAAGCCGAGACGTGACTCCTGTCACTCGTATCCCTGTTTCCCTCTCCCTTAAGTTATAGGTGGCCAATAAACGCCGTGTCCTCCACCACCTGGCCTGGCTGCTCTGCTCCCTGGGAGGGACAGGGGATGGCCCCAGCCGTGCTGCTGCCCTGGTGCTGTGCCCCGGCTGTCGGTGTGCAGTGCAGAAACCTGACCCAGGCGCAGGGGGCCGGCACGGGCTGAGTGCTGCCCTGCAGATGATGGTGGTGGCACTGGGAAGGAAGGGCGTCCCCAGCTTGGCCTCAGGGCAGCCAGGGCTCAAATCACACCCGGGGAGGCCGCAGGAGCTATTTTAGTGGGGGTTGGATGCTCGCAGCCTGACTGCACGCATGCCTCTGGCTCTGCACCACGTGAGAGCAGGGAGCTGCGTGCAGATGGGCAGCGGGGCGGGCGCTGGGTCGGGCACGGCGGTGAGGAGCCTTGTGGGGACACGGCAGGGCTGTCCCCAACTGCATTCCCCCCGGGAGGCCAGGCAGGGCCAGCTGTGCCCTCAGCCCTGAGGTGATGGCAGCCGTGTCACCCACTTCCCCTCTGTTCCCTGGCAGGAGCTCAGTGCTTTGTCCCCACCTCTGGCTCCTTGCTGCCCTTGGGCCCTGGGCGCAGGCGGGCAGAGTGGTTGCAGACCGAAACAGGAACTTACTTCAACTTCACTTTATTGTTTTCTTAATAAACTTCCTCTCCCATGGAGGAATATAGTGTTATAATCGTTAGCTTATCTCTTGCTTCTGTAGTCCTTAAACTCTATGCTAACAGCGATGGAGCCCAACAGGAGGAAAATAAAAACAACCCAGAAACTACAATAGAAAGGCACTTAGAGACCGTTAAAATACTGATGACCTGGAATGTGCAATAACAAACCAACAAATGAACAAGAAAACGTACACCGGCCGGGGAGGCCTGGTCGATGGCAAATGCCATGCTGTGGCAGTGCCGGGCGGCCGCCGCACCCCGGCCCGAGGACAGTGACGTGGGGAGACCTGCTCCCCGCGGGGCGTACTGCCGGGGGCCCTTCCCGAGCCCTGCAGCCGGGTCGGGGTCAGGGAGACCCTCGGTTCAGAGAAAGCTGTGGGCAGGGCGAGGTACGGCGGGCCTTCTGCGCGCACCGGGGCGAGGGAGGCGGCTGTGCCCCGTGCTGGAGGGCGGTCCCACAGAAAAGGAGGGTCCGGGCTGCGGGAGCAGGGATGGAGCCCTGGAGCACCTCTGCGGCGTCCCCCGTCTCCGAGGCTCCTGCCTCTCGGTGCCGTTGAGCGGGACCCCGCATACCCAGCTGCGCCCAACCTCTCCCTCTTGCCGGGATGGGGTCCGGCAGCGCAGAGCCCAGCCTGCGTCAGCGTCGCCCCACGGCTCCGGGGGCTCGTCTGGAAACGCGGGCGCAGAGCTGAGCAGCGCTGAGCCGCCCGGTGCCGACGCGCAGCTGCCCGCAGCCCTGCCCGCGCTGCCTGCGTGCGCTTGCGGTACATGCTTAGGTATGAACGTAGCTAAACGCGGTGGCTCTGCCCCGGTGCGGAGCCGGCACGGCGAGCGGCACACGCGGCCGTGTGCCTTGTCACGGGGGTGGCCGGGGTGGCGGCACGGGGCGGCCCGGCCGTGGAGCTGGGGGTCCCCACGCCGGCACCGTTGGGGCCGAGGCCCGGGGCAGGGAGACGCCAAGTCAGCGAGAGCGAAGAGCCCGAGCGGGGCTCCGTCGGCGCGGGGGTCTGGGCGATAAATAAATAGCGGCGTCTCCGCTGCCCGGCGCGGGGCAGAGCCCCCAGGCGCACCCCCCCAGAGCCGGGGCGGCAGCGTGGGGTCGCCGAGGGATTATTGCTATTCTCAGAAGAGTCCGTTCTTCTTTCGTGAAGGTTAACGTGGCCGCAAGCCGGGGCCTGGGGCGATGCTGGGGGTGACGCCAGGGTCTCGGCCTGCCTCCCCCCCCCCTCCCCAGCCCTCAATTCACCACGGCCGGCTTGAGCAGCAGGGAGCCGGGCGGGATGACCACCCAGCCGGGCGGCAGCGCCTCGGGGGGGCTGCCTGCCGCACCCACCCCCGTCGAGAGGTCGAGCACGGCCCCCGGCAGCAGCGCCAGGCTCTCGGGGGGGACCCTCAGGCGGCCCGGCTCCGTCCGTCGGCCGCCCGCCTTGCGGCCCTCCTTGCCGCCCTTCCGCCCCTCGGCCTCGTCGGCCTCAGCCTTCGCCCCGCCGGCCAGCAGCGACATGACGGGCAGCCCCAGGCCGCCGGCCGCGAAGGGCGACGGCAGCAGCGGACCCTTGGCCAAGTTCAGCGGGCCGTTGAGGGGCAGCGCGGGGCCGGGCAGGGCGGGCAGCGAACCCCCGGCCCCACAGCCCAGAGCGCTCAGGTCGAGGGGGGCCGGAGCCAGCGGGAGGGGCAGAGCGGGCAGCGCGTGGGGGGCAAAGAGGGCGGCGGGGTTGGGCAGGAGGAGCTGCGCCCCGTTGGCGTAGGGTGCGTCCGCAGAGCCCTTGGGGGGCGCGTGGGCCTTCAGCATCTCGTGGTGCTCGTGGGACACGAAGTGCCCGTGGGCTTTGATGTGCTTGCGGAGCGAGCTGGGGTCCGTGTAGCGCTTGTGGCAGCCCGGCATCTTGCAGTAGTAGGGCTTCTCCACGTAGTGCGTGCGGGTGTGCTTGAAGCGGTCGCTGGAGTTGGAGTAGCGTTTGTTGCAGCCTTCGTAGGGGCAGATGTAGGGCTTCTCGCCTGCGGGACGGCACAGCGCTGCGTCTGAGCCCCCCGCGGAGGGCAGCTCCGTGATCCCCACCCCTCCCAACCCGCCCCGAGCGCTCACCGGTGTGCGAGCGGTTGTGGATCTTCAGGTTCTCCAGGCGAGAGAAGCTCTTGTTGCAGGTGGGGCAGCGGTGCGGCTTCTCGTTGGTGTGCGTCCGGATGTGGATCAGCATCTTGTACCTGTGCCAGAACCATCAGGGGGAGCCGAGAATGGCACCACAGCCTCCCTGCAGCCCCTATGGGGACACCCAACGCCGCCGCTCGGTGCCGTCCATCGCCCACTGCCATCCACCCCCACAGCCCCAGCACGGCTTGCTGCCCCCCACCCCCCCCGCACCCACCTGGCGTTGAAGCCGCGGCCATGGCGGGCGCAGCCCTCCCAGTGGCAGCAGTACCCCGCGTCCTTCTCGGGTTTGACGTGGAAGTCATTGACGTGGTCCACGAGGTCTTGCAGGAGGTCGAAGAATTGGTTGCACTGCGGGAAGGGGACGCTGGAGGTGAGGGAGGAGCGGAGACGCCCCAGCTCCCGCACCCCCCTCCCCCACCAGCCCCACAGCCCACCCCCTCCCGGCCTCATGCCCCCGCCTGACCTTGGACCAGCGGCAGACGAGCTGCTTGGGGAGGGGCAGCTCCGGGGAAAGGCGTTTGTCCTTGGGGGGGGGGCAGGAAGGAGGGCAGGTGCAGAGCCCCCCCCGCGCCCAGCGGCAGGAAGAACTGGAAGGAGCCGGGGATGCCGTCGATGTAGCGCAGGGACTGGAAATCCTACGGCGGGACGGGGCGCGGGGTGAGGGCCGATGTGCGGCTCCTCTCCGGGACGACGGGGTGGCACCGAGGGGGAGGGGACGCGCGGCCGTACTCACGTGGGGGAGGGCGGGCACGGGGGGGTCACTGTGCCGCTCGGGGGACAGCGAAGCGCTGCCCCCACCCGGGGACTCTACGCCGGGGGGGGGCGAGAGGCTGAGGTCCATGACGGGGAGGGCCGGGAAGCGCTTCTCCAGCGCTTTGGAGTGTGCCAACAGCCCGGGGCCCGGCCCTGCCCGCCGCCCCCCCCGCGCGGAGCCCCGGCTCTCCCCGACCGGCGGGGGGGCGGCGGCGGAGGGGGGAACGGCACGGGGCCGTGGTCCGGGGGGGCCGCGTTCCCGTTTCTCTCGGGCGCTCCGCACTTTGGAGATGCTCAGCTTGAGGTCCAGCGGCTCGTCCAGCGAATGCATGGCGCCGGGCGGGGGGGTGCTGCTGTAAAGGCGTGCGTGGTGGTACGGGGGGGAGGGGGGCGCACGGCCGTAAAGCCCCCAATGCCCCCCCCCACCTCCCCCCCCCCCCCCCCCCCCCGGGGGGGGGGGGGCCAGGACGCGCCGGGGGGGGGGGCCGGCGCGGCTG